CCCCAAAACCCCAAAACCCCGTCAGATCTAATAAATATATATAATAGTTTATAGAAATGCAAGGAATAATTAATAAATTATATTATGATAGATTTGAAGACTAAACTTAAAATCCAATTTACTTCCATCAACTAGCCCAAATTATCTTATACTAACTCACTTCCACAATGCAGATTTCCATAAGCATTAAGCACACCTTAATCTAGTAATCTACCTTTGAGAAAACCATAATCAAAACTGGCATAACTCAGAGAATTAATGCCACAATAGGACAAAGTCTAAGAGCATTTAGAATCTCATAAAAAATTAATGAAAGTCAAAACTCCTATGCATGAATTGAAGAGTTAAAGATGACCTTAGCTATCTAAGTTTCTCGATTACACCTCACAGTAACTCTAAGTAACAGGGGAAAGATAGATCAGCACAACTCAAAATTCCCAATAAAAAGTAATAATGAATGAAAAAACTTCATTTCAAGAAACTTCAACAAGATAAAATATGCTAATGGAATATCGAAATAATCAGTAAGCTAAATCAAACATTACTTAGCCTTACCCTAGTCTAAGTCATACTTAGTCATATAATTAATAATAAGCCTAACAGTAGAATACAAACAATTCCTACTCCTAGAATTATATAAAAATCAATTAAAGCTATCTAAAGGAAAGCTCTTAAGATTAGATTATTAGTCATTAATAGAATTCCTAGGAGAGACAACCCTTAACTATCCCTATCTAGTCTATCAATTAAATGTTCATGCCTAATTGAATTAAGAAAGGTAAAAATTTCAAGCTAAACTATGAGTTTGCAAAAAAGTAGCTCTAGAATATGAATGATTCAATGGAAAAGATTATAAATCAAAGCATAGTTTAGTAAAATGAGGGAGTTATAGTATTCAATGATAGATAAAATATGTTTTCGCAGTAATCATAAGAACCTTGGTCGAGAAAATCCAGTAGAAGTGGATTCTTTGGAGGTAATATGGTTGGTGGGGGTAGCGCAAGTGGCATGTTTAAGTTATCAAGAAATAGTATGTAAAATTATAGATCAACTCCAATAGAGTTCCGAAAAGTTGAAAATTAAATCATAGAAGAGGAACATAATAACTTACCTGCTTAGGTAAAAAGAGAGTCAATCATACACAATAATAGAGAAGGAGTTATTACCAATCAAAGTCAAGATCAAATTTAAGATTCACCTAATAAATCTCAGCAATTTCACTAACTAAAATAAAAGAAATTTGAATTGGATTAGAAAGTGATAAAGAAATCAAGTTCACATATGAACAGAAAAATACCCTATGGTGACCACTTTAATATTGAAGAGATGGTGTACTAAGGTGGGTTTTTACTAAAGCCAAAGTCTAAAGTATCCCTAGGCTAAAGCAACAGTTAATCTAAGCAGCAAAGCTAGATAGTCAAGGAGCTTAAAGATTAGCAGAAAAATTACATGCAAGTTCAGAGTTTAAATTGCTTAATCAAAGAGAAGATTGTGACCCATAAAGAGTCTAGGGGGAAAATCAAATCTCTAAAGAATGTTGAGTAAGAATAGGAAAACTATTTAAAGAGTTTGAATGCTAAAAATAGACGACTTCTTTTGACCTAGATACCTGCTCCTTTAACTATATCACCCTCGAAAGAATAATTAAGGTTGGATTCAAGGCAATCTAAGTTAGACTCTTATGACTAGTCACCATTATCCTACAAAATTATGAGTCCAGTTTAAAAAGTCCTTGTGAAACAGAAGATGCACCTGAGAAATCCTTCAAATGAAATTGTAGGTTTTAATGATGGCAACAATTAAATTCTTGAAAGAACTTAAGAAGTCGAAACTTCATTAGATAGAACAACTTACAGAGACATGAAAAATCAAATGAGGACCTCAAAGGATAGTAATCAAATGAAGATTAGTGAAAATCATGATTTAGAAATGCGAGGTAGTAAAGTTAAACCTTAATAACCTCCTATATTGGGTAACTTAGGCAATAAAAAGAAGAAGACTATGAATTTTGATTTGAAAAATTTAAGTACTTTTGATAAATATCTGGAAAAGGAGGATAAATAAGAGGAAATATAAATTCCAGATACAGGGAAATTAACTGGTAACTCCTTTGCCCAGTAAATAGTGCAATCAGAGTATCTAATATAGCATAGATAATTATTGAATAAGAGAAAAATAATGAAGGAAAATAGGAGTTAGCCAAGAAGTTTTAACAATTTATCAGCTTGGTGACTTTCAATTTCATTAAAATTAATTTAATAACATTCTATGAAAATAATTCAATTCAATGCTTATGGGGTTTTGGGGTTTTGGGGTTTTGGGG